CCACATCTGTTTTGTCCACATAACTCACCAATTGTTGCTGATCTTGTCAGGAGCATTCAATATTTCTCAATTCAGAATAAAAGACATTTTTTTGGCAAAGTTGGCATTATTTTGATTGTGATGGCAGGGTTCCCTGACGACTTATTTCATCTCTCTCTCTTTCTCTCTCTCTATCTTTATCTCTCCCTCTCTCTCTCTCCCCCTCCCTCGTTCTCTCTCTCTCTCTCTCTCTCTCTCCCCCTCTCCAAGCCACTGGTAGAGGCTGAACCAGGCTCATTGCAACCTCCCAGTTCCTGGCTGACTCCCCGCCAACTTCCAAACCACCGAAAGGACCACCTCCATCGGAATCCTAACCCATGCTTCCCACAATATCCAACTATTCAATGTTCCTCTGCTTCACTGCTCAGACCGAACCGAAGTACCAATTAATTTGCATTGGTTTCCATTGCAGGGAGTGATGCAGACTCAATGGCATTGCTTACTGCGCATGTAATCCAAAAGCCCCAGGCTGGGGGACATGAGTTCAAACCCCACCATTACATCTGGTGGAACTTACATTTAAGTAATAAATCAGGAATTTGAAAGCCTGGAAAGCATGCCAACTATCAATTTTCATTTTTAAAAAATAGAAAATCATGTTTATTAGTATCCTCTTGTTTCATTAATCCATGGTTGGGCCAGCATTTATTGCCCGTCCTTAATTGCCCAGTTAAAAGGGTCAGCAACATTGCTGTTGCTCTGGAGTGACATGCAGGCAAGACCCCCCGCCTTCCCTAAGGGGCATTACTGAACCCGTTAGGTTTATCCAACAATGGTTGCCATGAGGCTAACTTTTAATTCCAGATTTTCATTATGTTCAAGCTTCCTCTCTCTGCTGTGATGGGATTCAAACACATCTCACCAGAATGATAACCTGGACCTCTGGATTACCAGTCTGGGGATATTACCACTGGACCTCTACCACCCTTGGGTAAAAGTCAATCGTCCTTATCTGGTCTGGCTTACATGTGACTCCAGTCCCACACCAATGAAACTGCCCTGTAAAATGGCCAAGCAATCCAATCAGCCCAAGGGTGATTAGAGATGTGCACCACCTACTAATCTGACAAGTGACACCCGCACCCCAGGAAATAATAATGAGAACCACTCTTAAAATGCTCATACTTGTGTTAAAATCACTCCCTGATCCCAGCAACCTCCCTGAAACATAAAATGGTGAATTTAGGTCCTTCTATGCTCTATGATAGTGACTCAGTAACCTAACCACTATATTCCTGTACTTTCAATTCTCTAAATCCCTTGCCAGTGCTTGTAGCCGTGCATATGTAATCAGTCTTGGGTTTTCTTTGTAACTATGGCTGGTAATGCTGGTAACATTTTTTCCACCAAAGCTCATTTTGACTGAAGTAGCCTCTGGTGGCACAATGCCATCAATTCCACAAAAAGCCTCACCACGAATCGGTAACCTGGTCAAACAACTGAACAAATTTAGAAAATAGTGGTGGGATTTTCCATCAAAGACATGTCTGCTTCATTTGCTTAACCCTTTCTTATCAACTTTGAAAGTGGGGAAGGGGAGGACAAGCAACACTTTTCTAAAGCCTCAGTTGTTTCAAGACAATGTCCATCATATTTCTGTAATGGCGGTAGCCTGCTTTATCGAGGGATTGGTGACTTTAGAAAATAAGGACGAGAGACAAAAGAGCAGGAGTAGGCCATTCAGCCCATCATGCCTGCTCTGCCATTGGATAAGATCACGGCTGATCTGATTGTTTCCTCAACTCCACATTCCTGCCTGACCCCCATAACCCTTGATTCCCTTGTCAATCAAAATTCTGGCTAGTTGAATATATTCAAAGATTCAACCTCCACTGCTTGCTGGAGAAAATTCCAAATATTAATGTTCCTTTAGAGGAAGAAATTCCTCTTTATCTCCCTATTCAACCGGAGAAGCCTAATTTTAAACTGATCTGCCTCGTTCTAATTCCTCCTCCAATAGGAATCTGTGTTAACTTTTAATTCCAGATTTTCATTATGTTCAAGCTTCCTCTCTCTGCTGTGGTGGGATTCAAACACATCTCACCAGAACGATAACCTGGAGCTCTGGATTACTAGTCTGGGGATGTTACCACTGGACCTCTACCACCCTTGGGTAAAAGTCAATCGTCCTTATCCGGTCTGGCTTACATGTGACTCCAGTCCCACACCAATGAAACTGCCCTGTAAAATGGCCAAACCTAATGGGTTCACTGATGCCCCTTAGGGAAGGGGGGGTTCTTGCCTGCATGTCACTCCAGAGCAACAGCAATGTGGCTGACCCTCTTAACTGGGCAATTAAGGACGGGCAATAAATGCTGGCCCAACCATGGATTAATGAAACAAGAGGATACTAATAAACATGATTTTCTATTTTTTTAAAATGAAAATTGATAGTTGGCATGCTTTCCAGGCTTTCAAATTCCTGATTTGTTACTTAAATGTAAGTTCCACCAGATGTAATGGTGGGGTTTGAACTCATGTCCCCCAGCCTGGGGCTTTTGGATTACATGCGCAGTAAGCAATGCCATTGAGTCTGCATCACTCCCTGCAATGGAAACCAATGCAAATTAATTGGTAATTTGGTTCGGTCTGAGCAGTGAAGCAGAGGAGCATTGAATAGTGTCCGTCCCTCCACTCAGAATCTTACATGTTTCAATGAGATCACCTCTCATTCTCCTAAACTCCTAAAGACCATCAGCTGAAGTTGCTCAATGTCATCCCAGGAAGCAGCCTCATGAACCTTTTCTAAACTGTTTCCTGTGTAAACATACCCCTCCTGAAAGGAGGAGACCCAAACAGCAGATAGTACTCCGGCTGCAGTCTCACTAATGCTACGTTCAGTTCTAGTGAGAGATCCTTGCTTTATATCCCATTTCCCCATCACAATAAAGGCCAAGATTACGTTTGCCTTCCTAATCGTTTGCCACAATGACATGATCATTTTTTTGTTTGATCCATGTGCCAGGATGCTAAGATACCACTGAGTCCCGCAATCTCTCTCTTTAAATAATATCCTGCTTTACTATTCTTTCTGCCAAACTTCTCCCACATTGTGCTCCATCTGTCAACTGTTTTAATTTAACCTAACCGTATCCCTTTGAAGTATTTTTGGGTGGCATTATGTGCTGTGCTGGGTATAGACGCCTTTGTGAGAAAACCTACCACACCACATGCCACTTGGAGGCAATACTGGGCTTTCTCTGGGACCTTGGAAGCCTGTGAGCCTGGGGGTGGTGGCTGGTGCAGGAAAGACACAAGGAGAGTCACTGTTGGATCAGCAGCCCATTAGCACACGACAAGCTCCCACAATCAATCAGATCACCTCCTTTCTGATATCAATTAAGGCAAAGGCACTAGGAGTATCTCTCCTCGGCATGCTGGAATCTTTCTTTTAATTCATTTATGGGACGTGGATGTCATTGGCTGGGCCAACATTTATTGCCAGTGTACAGCCAGAGACTTTTTCCTGGGGTGGAGGTAGCTATTACAAGAGGGCATAGTTTTAAAGTGAGTGGAGGTAGATATAAGGGAGACTTCAGAGGTAGGTTCTTTACTCAGAGAGTGGAAGGGGCGTGGAATGCATTGCCGGAGAGAGTAGTGGAGTCGGCCTCATTAGGGGCATTTAAATGGCTATTAGACAGGCATATGGATGGTAGTATAAGGTAGGTGTGGAGGTTAGATAGACCTTAAGTTTAGGGTAAAAGTTTGGCACAACATCGTGGGCCAAAGGGCCTGTACTGTGCTGTATTGTTCTATGTTCTATGTTCTATGTCCCTCGCTACCCTTGGGAAGGTGGTGGTGAGCTGCCCTCTTGAACTGCTGCAGTCCATCAGCATCATGGGATCTTTTACAGTGGCCCAGAAAGGCACTGCTTAATACTTCTGATTTGAAAGGCAACACCTCTGACAGTGCTGCACTCCCCTGGGTACCGCGCTGGAGTGACAGCCCTGATTTTGTGCTCAAGCCCTGGACTGGGACTTGAACCTGGAACCATGTGACTCTGGAGGTGAGAGTGCTCACCACAAAGTCTCAGTCAAAGAGGGACTTAAGGCCCCTTGTAGGGGGGAAGAGTCCTAAGCTGATGGATGACCATTTTCCAATCCAAACTCATGTGTTCCAAGTTCGCCCAGAGTTGGCAAGATGCTAGCAAATCGGAACACCAACCAACGTGGAATCCACATGCCTTGGGTCCCACTTTTGCATCCCACAAACCCTCCCCTTCCCTTTCCCCCTACCCTCTCCGTCCTTCTCCACCCTTCCCTCCCCTCCCTCCTTCCCCTCCCCTTGTCCCCCTCCCCTCTGTCCCCTCTCCCACCTCCCCGTCCCCCCCATTCCCCCATCTCCACCCTTCCCCCCCCTCCCTCTCCCCATTGCCCTCTCCCACTACCCCATCCCCTACCCCTCCTCTCACTCCCTGCTCCCCCCTCCCCATCCTACTTCTCCCCCATCACCCGTCCCTCCATCTCACCCTCCTCCTTCCATGCCCTCAACACTGCACCCCTCACCCACCTCCCTCAATGTCCTTTGGCTGATACAAAGTTGGTTCCTATCAGGCTACCCTGTATTATGCAGCGTGGCCCGAAAACCTCCTGCTTTCCATAAGGTCATCTCATTCAGAAACAAATGCCTTGAGTAATGGTCACCTCTGTCAAAAGCTTTCCATTTAAGGAGGAGGGTGATGTCAAGCTGAATGGATTTTAGCCAGTGTTCCCTCTGGTTTTATTTACATTAACGACAAGGCAGCAGAGGAGAAGAATGAGCTCAGTTATATTTACCACAGCGGGGTCAAGTCTTTAAGGGCTGTGATGTTGTCAGAATGCTATTCATCATTTGAGTGGAAATGTTTTGAGAGAGAAAAGAAAAGAGTTGTATTTCCAAAAATGGTGGCAATTTATTTTTAGAAAGTGTGTGTTTTCCATCTAGGCTTTTACCTTCTGTTCATTCCCTTCCCAACCCTCGAGGGTAGAGTGGGAGCATTGCACACAGCTCAGGGACGTTCTGGGGAGCAAGGGAGCCAGTGGAAGTAAGGATAAAAGAAACAACAGGCAAAAGTTAGCTGTCTTCTGAAGCCGCTTTTAAAAACAGAATGGAAGTCTCCCTTCTGCATTTCTGGAGTGGGGAACGTTTGCACGGTATGTGAGTAACATCGAGGAATGCATGTTTAGATATCTGAGAATCTGAGGCACACAATTGCAGTTCACTCAAGACAGATACAGCGTGGGCAATTTTAAAATAGCAATTATAAGAAGAGGTTACATAAGTTGTAAATACCGCTCAGGGTATCCATTCAGTTAGCTCTCCACATATGGAAACTATTCAGAATAAGTTTTCCTAACTGGACCAGGAGGTGAATTGGACGCATTCCAATTGCATTTAATAAAAAGCTAAGAATCTGCTCTTCTTTTCCTCACGGAATTAAATTTAAAGTAAAATGATTGCTTTACTTCAAGTGCAGTTTGCCCAAAGTTTGAGATGGTGGGTTTGTTTTATTTTTGTTTCCGAGGGGTCTTCTGCTACCCGCTTGATCGTGGAGACTAATTTCTAACATCTGGATGGGTTTATGAGTAGTAAAGGTCTAGAGGTACTCGAGCTAAATATTGGCAAATAGGACTGGATTAATTTAGGATATCTGGTCGGCATGGACGAGTTGGACAAAAGGGTTTGTTTCCGTGCTGTACGTCTCAATGACTCTGTAACATTCCCCACGATGCCCAGCTCAACGCGTCTCTGCACCCCCAACCCTCACAGCACAGAACTGTGTTCCCAATAAGTCACCTATCCAATCCCATGTCAGTCTGAAAGCACAGTACACGCTTCTGAAAGAACTGTGAAACAGAAAGAGCATATTGAGGGACAGACTTTCTAAGCTGGCTGATTTATCTTCCTTTATCTATTTGTTCATGGGACATGGACTTCGCTGTAAGCACCACCATTTGTTTCCCATCCCTAATTGCCCTTGAACCCGAGTGGCTTGCTGGGTCTTTTCAGGGGGCATTTTGAAAATCAACCACATTGCTGTGAGTCTGGATTCACTTACAGGCCAGACCAGATAAGAGTGGCAGATTTCCTTCTCTAAAGGGCATTAGTGAACCAGGTGGCTAGGTTCCTATTTCAAATATGTTAGTTAAATTTAAATTTAACTGATTTAAATTCATGTGGGCCTCTGAGTTATAGGTGAAATTACATTGTCCAAGGTCAAAGGGACAAGTAAGTGAGATGCAAGAGATGAAGTAAGGAGCAATTTCTTCACCCAGAGAGTGGTGAGCTTGTGGAATTCTCTGCCATTGAGAGACAAGGCCAAAACATTGAACATTTTCAAGAAGTAGTTAGATATAATTCTTAGGGTTAAGTCATAGAATCCCTACAGTGTGGAAACAGGCCCTTCGGCCCAACATGTCCACACCAAACCTCAGACCATCCCACCCAGACCCATTCCCCTGTGACTGACCTAATCTACACATCCCTGAGCACTGTGGGCAATTTAGCATGGCCAATGCACCTAACCTGCACATCTTTGGACTGTGGGAGAAGACCCACACAGACATGGGGAGAATATGCAAACTGTGCACAGACAGTTGCCCAAGGGTAGAATCAAACCCAGGTTGTGAGGCAGCAGTGCTAACCACTGAGCCACCGTGCCACCCCTAAAGTGGAAACTGCACCACAAGCCTCCAATGCAGGCTCAGAGCATGCAACCAGAGGCAAGGATTCGATGCACTTGGTCAGTATGGGGATTGAACCCATGACCTTGGCATTATTAGCACCACGCTGTAACCAGCTGAGCTAACCGATCACCACAAAGGGATCAAAGAGTAAGGGGGAGAAAGTGGGAACAGGGGACTGAGTTGGATGATCAGCCATGATCATATTGAATGGTGGAGTAGGCTTGAAGGGCTGAATGGCCTAGTCCTGCTCCTATTTTCTGTTTCTGAATGGAACAAGAAACAAAAGATGCGTTTAGGGGAGGCATAAGGGACGGTAATAGATTCATTACCACTTTACCATCTGCCAGTTGGAGTGCCAACCACCATTCTCAATGTGACCTTGGAGTATGAATGTGCCTTTATATCATTGGTTTGACAGAGCAACATTTCTCCAGCTAAGGGGATGAGGCTTGCTAGGTATTTTGTATGAGCCACATAAGTAAAGCTAGACACTTTATTTCGTCATTTTTCAGCCTTTATCTTCTATGTTTTGGTTTATTTTTCTGTATTTTAAGATGGTGCTGAAGAGTCGCATAATTGTATAGCACTTTTCACTGTATTTAGACAAAGACAATAAATAAATCAAAACCTTTAACTGAAGCTGCCCTGTGAGAGGTTGTCAATAGCTCCTCTCATTCTTGCTGTGGGCCTGGAGTCACACCAGTTAATGATGGCAGCTTCCCTTCCTGACTGAACTGGATGGGTTTTCTGTTGACAAGCAGTGGCCACCGTTTCTACGACTGCATTTCAGTCCCACATTTACTCAATGAGGTCAAATTCCACGGAGCTACTGGGACAGATATTGAACCCCTGTCACCACACCATTAGCTTGAGCCTCAGGATTGTAGTCTGTTGACGTTACTGCCAACCACTGTCATTCGCTGCATCCTCCCACCTGCATTTACGTAGCACCATATTGGTTGCTGTGAGACCATCACACGTACACGATTCACAAATGGATTCTGTGCTAAGGAAGGAGGCATTAGGACTGGCGACCCAAACCTCATGTAGTCATCGACTCATAAACATTTGTAGCACCAAAGGAAGCCATTTGATCCATTGTGCTTGTGCTAGACTGTAGAGATCTGACTGCACTAAGCCCATTTTCTGGCTTTTGGCAAAGGCAAGTCAAGTGTACGTCCAAGCACTGTTTAAATCTCACAAAGTTTCTGACTCAAACACCATTTCAGGCAGTGAGTTCCTGATTGCCAACGCCGCCAGAGTAAAGGAATCTCCTCCCAACTTTTCTCTTAGACTTCCACCTCTTTCTTTCAACCTGTACCACCAGGAACCAGGACTAGAGACTGTGTGAGTGGTGTCAGGAGGGCAATAGAGTGTAAAGTACTTACTTTTGTCGTTGTAGTTTGTCAGGAATAGAGACCGAGAGTGAGAAATCTGATTGTTGGCGAGTAGTAGGTAAGGTTGTGTAATAGGTTCCGAGGTTATTGTCTGTAGTCGATGAGGCTCAAAATGGCAGGAGAACTTGTCCCCGTAGAATGCTCGTTTGGTAATATGTGGGAAATCAGGGACACTTCACAGTCTCCATAGTGACTACATATACAGGAAGTGTGTTCTGCGGCAGCACCTGATTGGCCATACAGAGCACCTAGAGCTGTGAATGGACTCACTATGGAGCACCCGTGAGGTTGAGAATGTCATGGATAGTATGTTTAATGAGTTGGTCATATCATCGGTAAGGGCTACGCTGACAGAGAAGAGTTGGGTGACCACCAGGAAGATAAGTAAGTGTGGGCAGGCAGTGCAGGAGACCTTGTGGCCATTCCCCTCTCAGAAGTCACACGGCACCAGGTTCTAGTCCAACAGTTTATTTGAAATCACAAGCTTTCAGAGCTCTGCTCCTTCATCAGGTGACTTCAGGTAACCAGGGAAAGAGTAGGTCCATTCAAGGACAAAGTAGGGATTTATGCATGGAACCAGAGCAAGTGGTTGAGGTCCTTAATGAGTACTTCACATCAGTACTCACCGAGGAGAAGGACATGAATGGTGATGATAAGCTTAGGAAGGTGTATGTTGATATTCTGGGACATGTTTATATTAACAAGAAGAAGGTATTAAGTGTCTTGAAAACATTGAGGTAGATAAATCCCTAGGGCCTGATGGGATCTGTCCCAGGATACTGAAGGAGGCAAAAGAAGAGATTGCTGGGGCCTTGACAGAGACCTTTCTATCCTCTTTAAGTTACACATGAGGTTCCAGAAGACTGAAGAATAGCCAATGTTATTCTTTTGTTTAAGAAAGGCAACAGGGATGATCTGGGAAATCATAGGCTGGTGAGCCTCACTTTAGTGGTAGTGAAATTATTGGAGAAGATTGTTAGGGACAGGAATTACTTGCATTTGAAGAAAAATGTACTTATCAGGGACTTATTATGACTGTGCAAGGGAGGTCATCTCTCACAAATTTGATTAAGCCTTTTTGAGGAAGTGACAAAGATGACTGTTGAGGGTAGGGCAGTGGATATTGACTACATGGACTTTACTTAAGCATTTGACAAGGTCCAGAAGATTAAGTCACGTGGGATCCATGGTGAGTTGGTAAATTGGATTAAAATTGAGTTGGTCATAGAAGACAGTGGGTAATTGGGGAGGGGTGTTTTTCTGACTGGAGGTCTGTGACCAGTAATGTTCCTCAAGGATCAGTGCTGGGATCTCTGTTGTTTGTAATACATGTAAATGACTTGGATGAAAACGTAGGTGGTCTGAATAGTAAGTTTCTGGATGATGCGAAAATTAGTGGAGATGAAGATGGTGAGAAAGGTTACTAAGGGATGCAGCAGGATATAGATGGAAGGTTGGGCAGACATTGGCAGGTAGAGTTTAATCCAACAAGTGTCAGGTGATGCATCTTGGGAGGTTAGATGCAAGAGGAAAGTACTCAGTAAATGGCAGGACCCTCAGGAACATTGATATACAGAGGGACCCTGGGGTGCAAGTCCATAACTCCCTGAAAGTGGCAACACAAGTGAACAAGGTAGTAAAGAAGGTGTAAGGCATGCTTACATTCATCGGTCAGAGGAATGAGTATACAATTTGGCAAATCGTTGTTGCAGTTGTATCAGACTTCGGTCATGCCACACGTGGGTTACTGTGCACAGTTCTGGTCGCTGCACTGTAGGAAGGATGTGGAGACTTTGGAGAGGGTACAGCAGATGTTTAGCAGGATTTTACCTGGATTGGAGTGTTTCAGCTATCATGAAAGGCTGAGGGGGCGACCTGATAGAAGTATGTAAATTTTATGAGAGACCATGGATAGGGTGGATAGTCAGAGTCTCTTTCCCAAGGGTGGAAATGTCAAATACTAGAGGACATATGTTTAAGTTGAGAGGGGGAATGTTTACAGAAGATGTGCAAGGCAATTTCTTTTACACAAAAGGTGGTACATGCCGAGAACGTGCTGTCAGGGGAGGT